TTCGAGGCAAGGTCCAACACAACGAGCGTAGGATTCATTGGCTGGTTGAAAGGGAACAACTGTCGTTTACTTCTCTCCCTCGTTCTCCAAGAGGCACTTGTTCCGCCCCTAGGAAGGAAAAAATACGTGTATGTATCCACACACACACACACACATACGCGTGCTAGGCTTGTGCGTTTCTTGAAAAACGCAAAATCCCGTCAGGTGTTCATATGGGCAACAGGTGCGTGTCTTTGGGTCAATCACGTTTACGAGTCGGCCTTCAAGACTGCGCAAAGCAAGTATTCAGCCACGAGAGCGTCCAATATTAGCGCCAACACTGCGTCTTATCCAGCCTCTAACCAACATCGATGCTTTCCAATTACTTGCAGGTTTTATCATTCGGAGCAACGATGAAGAATGGGAGGTTAATGACTTGGATAGGATTCTCGTAGGACCACACTCACTTGCGAAATCCCCTTGAATGAAAAGTATCATCACCATCTTCAGATTTCCGAAGAAAATGCGCCCTAAAACCTAAACAATTCTTATTTTTTTTGAAGCACCAACCTCCAATTCTTCCACGGAAGATGGAAAAGGAAAAATTGAGAGTGTGCGCACTCAAATTTCCACGTTTTAGTCAATTTAAACCAGCACACATCCATCTGATTTAGAAAAGCACCCAAATTCGCACAGCGCTAGTACACTTGTTCGATCATTATCGATTTTTAGCCGAAATGGCGCCGCCCATATTCGTAATTTGCTCGTGTGCTTCGTTCAGCACTTTTCTGAATAGCAGGAAAGAATTTTCCGCTCAGGTTTTTTTTGGTTATCCCTTGGTTCGGTGACACACCCTCTTTTTGTGTGGCCATGAGAACTTGAAAAAGCACGCCACGTTTGCGCCAGCCACAACCGTTTTTGCGAAAACCAATTGTGGCCAACTTGGTACGTTCATCGGGCAGAAATTGTGGCCCATGAAGTGTGCAGATTGTTGCTGGCTAGACATGGATTCAAGAATTTTTTTAAACTTTGTGCTTGAACAAGAATTTTCTGACAAATTCAGATTGCAATTTACAATGCTAGAGATGGACTTAAAATTTAACACATAGCTTAGCTGAAATGGAGAACTCCACTGGCTGGATTTAGTAAAACAAATTCCCATACTGACCTTTGAGCATATCCAAGAAATAGCAGAAAAATGGCTACCGTCAACTATATTTTGTGGTGTTTGACAACCATGAACAATATTGTTTTGGTTGACGGTTTATCTTTAACCCCATTCGTCATCCGTCGCCACGGCCGAAAATTTGGTTATCTGAGATCGGTAAAAAGGCTCCATTTTTGAATTTGGACATTGCCTTGTGTCTATTTATTACAAGAAAGTACACTTCCAATCGAATTTCCTCATAGTTATTACCTTGAGATTAAAAAGAACGCGATAACGTCCGTTCACCTGACCCAAATTTTGAATAGGTATTATCAAGGACAAAGGGCTGGATGCTATGACGCCTTGTTGCGACAGGGAGCTTTACTCGATTGGCTAGACTGGAATCATATTTGATTGGATAAAAGTAATCCAGAAAAGGCGAGTTTGCAGAAGGATCGAAAACTTCGACCACGTGGACGAACACCTCAACGGTTCCACCTCAGTTTCAGGTCGCCTGTCTTGCTGAAATGCAAAATTGTGATCAGTCAATTTGGACCGAAGGTTCGAGTTTCGAAGATCAAGTTAGTCTCTCTTTCTATAAACTTGAGAATATGCTTCTAATAAAGGGTGTAGAGACCAGTAGGCGAGCACAGTTAGCATTCGTGAGTGAACACAAATCAATCGTTTTTCAAATCAATCGATTTTTTCGTGAATGCACTTCACGCAACTCAAGAATCAGTTACTCTAATTGACAGTCGTGACTCGAATAAACGGCCGTGTTCTCTTTCGACCCTGTCTTCTCTCTGCTCGCGTTGTGACCGGCTGTTACCTATTGGGTTTTGTGATAGTGTTAATTTAGGCCTCCACAAGGGTAACGAGAATTATTTCATGATTAAATCAAGCGAGAATGGAATCGAAATCACATCTGACACAACGCCGACTGCGTTCTTCAACGTTAACATCAAGTTTTACAACAGACGAAAAGAAGAAAAGGCTATGCAAAAAGTTCGACGAGGTGCAAATTCAAAAAGCGTTTGCTATGAGCAAATTGTGAGCGGTACTCAACAGGAACCAGAATTAAAACAACGCGTAAATCTAAACTAGCATGACAAATGTAACATCGTGGTCTATCCGAAACTAAAAACACAGAAGAGTTAATAGTCACACAAAGAAATAATCAAAGTATTAAGAGAAAGATGTGGCTATTTCAACTACTTCAAATAAAATCGATCATTCGTTGGTCTAATCAGCCATGGTAGGAAATTTAACAAGCTTGTCTAGTCCCTCTCCGGAATTAGTACCATTCGAATCGACGCATCCAGGAAAAAACGAGAGCAATCTAGGAAGACCAGTAATCTACGTCAACTGCAACTTTTTCCAGCGTACTTTGTTCTAACTCGGAACGTTCACTATTCGACTCCCTGATGTATAGTATCCCCTTTCGTTTATGTTTCGTTCTAAGTTGCATCAGTCAAATTATTTGACTTGGGTGAATGCCAGCGCCCCTAACGACCCACTTGCCAACGGGCTGGAATGGTGTCTTCTTCAGGCCACGCGTGCTTCAGTCATTGATTCGGCTCATTCTACTCACATCAAATTTAAGTAGGACGAGTTGACAGCTGAAGAACCGCTCTGGCTCTTGTTAGCGATCAACTCGCCTACACGAGACGTGCTCAAGATAGCTAGCAGATGTTCCGGGTCTTCATAATCCTGATCCCGACATGGAACATGTTCGACCGTCTACGAGCTGGTTGTATTCTGCAACGCCATGGGACCAAGTCATGTCGTGCTGATTTTGGATCCGACCACAATGCTACAACTGAGTGTGGTGAAGACTGTGTCGGAATCGGCGACAGCAGCACACCCAGCTAGGTCAACACCTTTAAAAATTGCCTCTAGTGTCGATGCTGGGCGCTGGGCTTTTGCAAGTGCTGGCTTGCAATTAGTGCGAGGGCGCAAATGTCAGTTGGGACAGCCAACAGTTGTTCCAATGTCGTCTAGCTGAAGGTAATGGGTGGTAACGAGGCTGCAACAGGTGACACCCTCTGCAGTGCCTCCTCGTGACGGTCGACTGTGTCCCAGACGAAGGAGTCACCGATAATCACGGTGCACACACACACACGCACGCACCAATTGTCGTGGGATTCTGTCACACTCGCATTTAACATCGCCTTTCGCCAAGGCAGTCTTCAACTGACATCCAGGTTTGTCCTTGAGGTTGGGTACAGGCAATTACGTCCTTATTGGGCAGGTTTGATTGCCTTCTCTATCGACGCCTAGCCTGAAATCCAAGGTCAAATTATCCGTGTGTGTGTGTGTGTGATCGATGCTCCTGATTCACATCGGCTACAAGCTAATGATTCCAATAACTTCGATTATTGGCAGTTGAAAATTGATCCCATTAGAATTGTGGTCCAACAAAACCAGGGTTGGAAAACCTTGGGGTCTAACGCGGGACTTGAAACCAGACAAGAAGTGAAAGGATCAGCGATATTTGGGAGACCAGTTGAAACACTTTAAATCAAAGTGGTGATCTGAAAATAACTGAAATTACGGTATATACCAAAAGTGGTTTCCGGCGTCTACATCAATCTAGCAATTATTGACTTGATAAAATCAAAACTAGAATCAACAACAGTTGTAGCTGCCATCCCGGCTCAATTGTGAAAGACAGTTATGGCCTTTAAAACTGCGTTTCACTCGATCGGACATCATTAGCAGGTCAACATAATTAAAGTGATTGTTGTCGGGGTGATAACTGCAAACTGTTTAACGCATGTTTGTGTGAATCGGTTGATCTTAAAATTTCCAAAAATGCTGCTACTTCACAGTGTCTACCAAAAGCGGTTTTCGGTGTCTACCTCACACCTTGCAATTATTAATTTGCTAAACTCAAAATTGGCGCCAACAGGTGACACGCAACAAGGGAAACCGATTTGGCAGCATTTATGGTAATCCAATCCCTTGTTTCTATTCACCGGACATCATCAGCAATTCCCGATTCGTGTCACGATTAGTGAATTCATTGCTGTCGGCGGCAGGCAGCACCAACATGCGACACGTAGCAGGTTAAATCGACATACCTGCTGAATTGCGAAAGGCCGTCAATGCCTCCAAACCCCGAGTCAATCGAACAGCCATCGTCCGAACTTCCAGGAGGTCGTAATGATTAGTGAATTCTTTGTCGTTTCCAATTTCTGCCACGTCCTTTATTCAAACTTCCTCAGTTGCTGTAGATCCTTCCAGCCAATGTCATCCTGGATGTCGCAGACGATGTTTGTTGAAGACATCGTCATCTTGAGCATCTCTCGGAATCAATCTCATTGTCCGATAACGAATATTCGGCAATTAGACATAGTGAGGCATCTTCAGACAGATGTGCCTTGAAAGGTGTTGGCGCAGAAGTACATTTGCCCTCTTTTGAAGCTAAAACACGATGATATTCTTTTGGCATTTGTCTAAACTAATAACTGATAGACTTATGTGGTTGCTGGATCATTACAGCATGAAATGCCCGCTTTGTCTGGATGGAATGTTGATAGGCCACAGGCGTGAGCAGGCACACCCCTAGACAAGTCTTACCTACCAGCAAGTTGGTGTGGGATTGAGAGCTTGTGTACTCAGCATCAAGGCAGACGGTCATTAAACCACACACACACACAAGCGTCTGGCGTACTACTGTGAGTGATCAATTAACGCCAGACCCGCGAGAGGAGCTTAGGGGAGAATGCGGTATAAATCAAGAGGTACTCGGTAGCGGGGAGGAGGGGGTGGAGGATCCAAGGCGGGCGCGCATTCGCTGCGTGCCTGTGTGTGAGCTGGTTTTCACACAGGTGCTGTGATTTGCACAGACTGTCTCCCCTCTTCTTGTGGGATGACTCTTAATCACGTCGACTCACTTCTGGCAAGCGTGCAGGACTTGGTTAGCAGTGAATGCAGTATCGCTGACACCTCTGTTCACACACCACTGAGCAGAACTCATGAACCCTCTACTCTCCCACTCACTCTCCTTCCGTTCTCCCTACTTCCAATTCGCCAGTGGAAATGGCGGGCTTTTCGACAGTGTTCAAACACCCTCCTCCTCCTGCCGCTGCTGCTGTCCCTGCTTGCACTTTTCGCAAAGTGCCTCGATTAAAACAGCCGTTAGGCGTCAGTGGACGTCACGCAATTCGGAACAACCAACCAAACAAACAAACTTGTCAATTTAAATGCTGGGAGTCAATTGTGGTCAATTTACGGAAACTTTACAGCGTATTCACTGGTAGCATCACCTGTCGGTGGTAATTTACAAAAAAACTCAAATCCTCGTTCCCCAAGGCATACCTAAGAATGGACTGGAGTCGAATGTCCAAACTAACGTTCGTTTTGGATGCAGCATTTACAGTTAACAACTGCTTCCGTTTGTAATCGACCAATCACAAGACATGAGGCCGCGTGGGGGGTTGTCGCGTGAATACAACATAACGAAATCAAATGAGTATATGCGATGAGAAATGGGTATGGAGGCCACCGACAGTTTGTGATCCATTTAAAATAACAGGACCAGGTGTTGACGGTAGGGT